TTTTATTCTAAAATCCGGGGGAGACAGGAGACTATTGAATTCTAATTTTTTTAACTCCATCGCTTATATTCCGATTACACCAATAACAAATTTATTTATGTTTTGTGGTGTGTTTATGGGTTTCCAATAGAAAATAACAAACGAGAGGTTTTAACAGAAATAGCAAGTGGAAATTGTTACAAAAAAAACTTCCTAAGTCATATACTGAAGTCTTTACAAAGACTTCCTAAATCAAAGGTCGTCTCTTGTCCCCGTAAAAGGAGATTAGGGAGAAGACTTTCAGTATATGATCCTAATATTCACACACACAAATTTCTAACTTGTCCCACGGTTTTATTCTTTTGGTTTATAGTTAACCAATAACACTTTTTATTTTTTTCGTTAAAAATGTAAATATCAATTAAAAAAAAATGAACAGTTTAGGTTATATAAACAAATTAAAATGGTCGATGAATTGCCAACACAATGAAGGAAGCACTTTCATCCGACAGCCCGAACTAAACCATTGAAACCAAAAGGCCAACAAGCAACACAACTAAGGCTGTCCTCAACACCCGGAAACGCAGCTATCAAGCAAACCTTTGAGACAATAGCTAAGACGGGATTGCACTAGCCAAATAATACAATGTTGGCTACCGTTTAACCTCGCGACAAACGAATCGATAATCTTACTAGGTCCTCCAAAATCGAATAAATGAGCACCAAAACTAGTCACGAAACCAAACCTATTCCAGCCATACTTACAAATCGATACTCAAACAATAACACTTTTATGTTGTTCTATACTAATATCATTAATCACAGCTTTTTTTCAACTAATCTATTAAATTTAATAATGAATACGTCTTACACTACAACAAACCTCTTCTTTTCCTCAATCTCTCTACACTTTTCGCGTCACAACCAACAAAAAATAATAAATAAATAAAACATACCATTCCATATCCATAAAGCTACACAAATATAAATAGACTAACTAATTAATAAAACAAAAATAAATATAAAAACATGGAGACAACTAGGAGAGTCACAGTGTGTGTGTGAGTGTCTATATATATATGATCCCTCAGTTCCCACACAACCATCAACACTTATTACAGAACCCACTTTTGATTTTTCTTTAA